AAAAAATTCTTTTAAAAATTAAATTTATTGTGGTGACATTGGTTAATAGGATCATATAGGTTTCAACTGTACATTTCTACATACAAGATCTGTATATTACATTGTGTGCCCGCCACCCAAAGTTAAACCATCTTCCGTCCCCGTATATTAGGACCCCTCCACCCCCATGACCCCCACCCCTTTCCCTCTGGTAACCACCACACTGCTGTCTGTGTGTGCACGAGTTTCAGTTTTATATCCCACATATGAGTGAAATCATATGGTCCTTAGCTTATTCTGACTCACTCATTTCACTTAGCATGATATTCTCAAGGTCCTTCATGTTGTCACAAATGGCAGGATCCCACCCTTTCCAGGGGCTGAGTAGTGTCCCATTGCGTCTTCTTTATCCAGTCCTGTGCTGAAGGACACTTTGGTTGTTGCCATGTCTCAGCCCCATGAATAATGCAATGAACACAGGGGTGCGTATATCTTTGCGAATAAATGTTTTCGAGTTTTTTGGGTAGATACCCGGAAGAGGGATTCCTGAGTCATATGGTAGCTCTATTCTTAATTTTTGAGGAACCGCCAGACTGTTTTCCATAGTGTCTGTACTAGTTTTCATTCCCACCAGCAGTGAATGAGGGCTCCCTTTTCCTCACAACCTCTCCAACACTGGTTAATGAAACTGTCTCGTGGATAATAGTCATTGATAATGAGGCGGTATCTCATTGCAGTTTTGATTTGCATTTCCCTAATAGTGAAGTTGAGCTTCTTTTCATGTATCTGTTGGTTGTTTGTATGTCTTCTTGGGAGAGGTTTCTGTTCAGGTCCAGTGCCCTTTTTTTTTTTTAAAAAATATATCTTTATTGATGTCAGAGAGAGGAAAGGAGAGAGAGAGATAGAAACGTCAATGATGAGAGAGTCATTGATTGGCTGCCTCCTGCACGCCCCCGACTGGGGATCGAGCCCACAACCCGGGCATGTGCCCTGACTGGGAATCGAACCCCGATCGCCTGGATCCTAGGTCGATGCTCAATCGCTGATCCATGCCTGGCAGGGCGCCCATTTTTTAATTGGATTGTTTGGTGTTGAGTTGTATGATTTCTTTATATATTTTGGATATTAAACCTTTGTTGGGGGTGTTGTTTGCAAATATCATCTCCCATTTGGTAGGTTGCTTTTTTGCTTTGTTGTCAGTTTCTTTCGCTGTGCAGAAGCTTTTTAGTTTGATACAGTCCCATTCATGCATTTCTGCCTTTACTTCCTGGCCTTTAGGGTCAAATTCATAAAATGTTCTCTAGGACCAAGGCCCATAAGTTTTGTACCTATGTTTTCTTCTATGTAATTTATTGTTTCAGGTCTTATACTTAGGTCTTTGATTCATTTTGAGTTAATTTTTGTACATGGGGACAAACTGTAATCTAGTTTCATTCTTTTGCATGTGTCCTTCCAGTTTTCCCAGCACCATTTATTGAAGAGGCTGGCTTTTCTCCATTGTGTGTTTTTGTCTCCTCTGTCGAAAATGCCTATATACATGTGGTTTTATTTCTGGGCTCTTAATTCTCTTCCATTGATCTGTGTGTCTGTTTTTCTGCCAATACCATGCTGTTTTGATGATCATAGCTCTACAGTATAATTTGAAGTCAGTAGTGTGGTACCTCTGGCTTTGTTCTTTTTCCTCAGGATGGCTTTGGCTATTCGGGGTCTTCTGTGGTTCCATACAAACCTGATGATTTTTTGTTATATTTCTTTAAAAAATGACATTGGGATATTGATGGGAATTGCATTAAATCTGTGTGTTGCTTTGGGTAATATGGCCATTTTAACTATGTTGATTCTTCCAATCCGTGAGCACAGAATATCTTCCCATTTTGTGCATTTTTCAACTTTGAATTATGCTTCGTAGTTTTCAGTACGTAGGTCTTTCACGTCCTTTGTTAAGTTTAATCCTAGGTATTTTATTCTTTTGGCTGTAATTGCAAATGGAATTGTTTTTTTCATTTCTTTTTCTGAAGTTTCATTATTAGTACACAGGGAGGCAGTAGATTTTCGTACATTGATTTTTGTATCCTGCAACTTTACTGTATTTATTTATTTAAACTATTTGTTTCTAATAGTTTTTTGGTGGAGTCTGTAGGGTCTTCTCTGTAATCATGTCAGCAAAAAGTGACACTTCTTCCTTCCCAATTTGGATGCCTTTTATTTCTTCCTCTTGCCTTATTGCTCTGGCTAGGACTTTGAGAATTATACTGAATAAGAGTGATGAGGGTAGGTATCCTTGTCTTGTTCCTGATTTTAGAGGAAAAGTTTTTAGTTTTTCAACATTGAGTATGATATTGGCTGAGGGTTTGTCATATATGGCCTTTATTATGTTGAGGTACTTTTTTTCTATACTTATTTTATTGAGTGTTTTAATCATAAATGGATGTTGTATCTTATCAGATGCTTTTTCCTGCATCTGTTGATAAGATCATATGATTTTATACTTTTTTTGGTAATGTGGTGTATTACATTGATCAATTTGATTATGTTGAACCACCCTTGTGCCCCTGGAATGAACCCCACTTGATCGTGATGTATTATTTTTTAAATGTATTGTTGTATTCAATTTGCTAATATTTTGTTTAGGATTTTTGCACCTGTAGTCATCAGAATTATTGGTCTGTGGTTTTCTTTTTTGTGTTCTTTTTGCCAGGTTTTGGTATCAGGATTATGCTGGCCTCTTTTGGAAGAGTTTGAGAAGGATAGGTTTCAAATCTTTGAATGTTTGGTAGAATTCACTGGTGAAGCCATCTGGTCCTGGGCTTTTATTTTTGGGGAGGTTTTGATGGTTGTTTCAATTTCCTTACTGCTGATTGGTCTATTTAGATTTTCCAATTCATGATTCAGTCTAGGAAGGTTATGCATTTCTAGGAACTTATCCATGTCTTCTAGGCTATTGGATTTGGTCGCATATAGTCTTTCATAGTATTCTACTATGATCCTTATATCTGCGAAGTCTGTGGTGACTTCTCTCTCATTTCTGATTTTGTTTATATGGGTCTTTTATCTTTTTTCCCTAGTGAGCCTAGCCAGGAGTTTGTTAATTTTATTAATCTTTAAAAAGAAGCAGCTTTTTGTTGTATTAAATTTTTGTATGGTCGTCTTGTTCTCTATTCCATTCAATTCTGTCTAATTTTTATGATTTCCTTACTTTTGCTGACTTTGGGTTGCTTTTGTTCTTTTTCCAGTTTTTTTAGATGTGATATTGGATTGTTTACTTGGAATTTCTCTTGTTTCTTGACATAGGCCTGTAGTGATATAGATTTCCCTCTTATTACTGCTTTTTCTGCATCCCAGAAGTTTTGATGTGTTGAACTGTCATTCTCATTTCTCTCTGCCTTCTGATCTCACTTTTTATTTCTTCTTTGACCCAGCTATTTTTTAGGGGTGTGTTGTTTCATCTCCATGTATTTGTGGGTTTCTTTATTTTTTGCATTTGATTTCTAATTTCAAGGCATCGTGGTCAGAGAATAGTTGATATAATTTCAGACTTCTTGAATTTGCTGATGCTAGTTCTGTGACCCAACACGTGGTCTGTCCTTGAGAATGTTCCATGTGCCCTGGAGAAGAAGGTATAAGCTGATGTTCTGGGATGAAGGACTCTGCAAATGTCAGTTATGTCCATTTGGTCTAATGTGTCATTTAAGGCTGATACTTCTTTATTGATTTTCTGTTTGGATGATCTATCCATAGCTGTCAGTGGAGTATTAAGGTCCCCAACTATGATTGTGCTTCGGTCTGTTTCTCTCTTTAGTTCTATGAGTAGTTGTTTTATATATTTTGGTGCTCCCTGGTTGGGTGCTTATATATTGAAAAGTGTTATGTCTTCTTGCTGTAACATCCCCTTTATCATTATAAAGTGTCCATTTTTGTCTCTTGTTACCTTTGTTATCTTAAAATCTATTTTGTCAAGTATAAGTATGGCTACACCTGCTTTTCTGTGAATGTTATTTGCTTGAAGAATTACTTTGAATCTACCTTTGTCTTTGCAGCTTAGATGTCTCTCTTGTAGGCAGCATACGGTTGGGTTTTTTTGTTTTGTTTTTGTTCTTTTAAAATCCAGTCGGCTACTCTGTGCCCCTTTATTGATGAATTCAGTCCATTTACAGTTAGGGTAATTATTGATATATGAGGATTTCCTCTAACCATTTTATCTTTTGTTTTTTGGTAACTGTGCCTCATTGGTTCTTTTTGTGTGTTTCCATCTGATGTTTTTCTTTAGTGGTATTCCATGCTTCTTTCCTCTGTTTCCTCTTTTTTAAAACTCTGTGTCTTAGTTTTGGTG